GCAGGCGCTGTGGGGTCGCAGCTTTGGGACCCCTGAGCTCCCTCCCAACCCAAACCATGCTGTCATTCAGCTCTTTTCTAATTGTCTCCCAACGGCTGAGGGATCAAATGTGCCACCTGGGGGAACCTTTAGGAAAACCAAAGGATGTTAAGGGCTGTCCTGCACTTAATTTCATCACAGATCAGAGACGTTCTGTTTTAGGTCGTCAGAAGCCCGACCGGATGTTCTGCTCCAGCTTCCAAATAGAAGCCAGGTCTGTGGGACACACAGTGCTGACAGTGAGCGTTCGTGTCCACCAGCAGTCCTTGCAAACAAGTGCAACGTTTGCTGCTTATGAGCCTCTCAAGGTGAGGACGTGCGTGCTGGGTTCGAATCGCTGAGTGCTGAGGAGCCTTCGTTGCACAGCGCTGCATCCTGAGTTGTTTGCAGCTGGGAATTAACCGACAGCAACAAAATCCGTTCTGTTGGATGGGAGTAAATGGGTTTAAGAGTCAGCTTGACTTCAGTTTCTGGGGAAGAGCAGCAGTGTGTTTGGCTGCTCTTTGTTTTTCAGTCTGAGCTGCGTGCTGCTGGATCAGCACTTTCAGAGGTGGGGCCTAAGCTGGATTTCTTGGGCAGCTTGGAAGAAATGAAAGCAGAAGAAAAATGGGGATATTTTATAACAATCTGCAGTTTCTTGTCTGCTTGTCGTGTGTGTGCATGACTTCATTCCGGCATTACAGAGCCCTGGGGGTTGACCTTAAACATCCCTGATATTGCTGGAGTAGTTGCAGGCCTGCAGTGCCATCAGTGGTTCTTCTTGGTCTCTTTTTGACTTGAATGCCCTGCTGACGGATGGCACAAAAGAGGAATTCCTGCTTTGCTTTTCTTCATGTGCTCAGGCCGTCAACCCGGTGGCTCTGGTGACCTGGAAGGCAACCAAGGAGATTGTTTTCGAGGGTGGCCCAGGGCCGTGGGTTCTGGAACCGTCCCGTTTCTTTTCGGAACTGACTGTAGAACATAGAAGTAAAATTGAGGTGGTGCAAATCCGCCTGCCAACCCAAAGGAAAGTGAAGCAGTACGTGTACCGTGCGGCGTGCCTGGAGCTGGGGGAGCAGGTAAGGAGCGTTCTGAACTTCATCAGGAGCTGCAGGCTGGGTAGATTCGCACCTTCAGTCTCCCATTTCCTCGGGTAGAGAGCTCACAGCCTGGGTCTGCTCACAAAGGATTTCACTCTTCTTACACTTGTTGGTTTGTTGGTTCCCGTTTGACTCAGAGCTGTGTTTGGGGAAAGGACGGTAGGGGTCCTGTTCAGGCTGGTGCTTCTGTCCTAATGCACAGACAGCTGCGGTGCAACTTCAAACTGCCCACAGAAACTTCTACAAGGCGAAAAAATGTTTTGGGAAGATACCCAGCTAACCCTAGGAATGGGACACGGTCAGTAGGGGTGGGGGAGAGCTGCTCTTTGCAGAGAAAACTCCTTTCGGAATCCAAATGTGGTGATGGGTTCAGTATTAAACTCCAGGAGCCAGAAGGCAGAGGGTTCTTAGCATCTCACAACCTTCGGAGGTTTTGTGCTGCAGGTGCTGCTTCTGCTCTTTCTGCTCATCTGCATCCTGACTACGATGGCAGTCAGCAGCAGTGGCAGCGTGCCTGGCCACAGGGCGAGGGACCCGGGGTGGTGGGCAGCGTGGTGATGGGCTGGCAGCTGGACCCGATCATCTGCCAGGTCTTTTCCAGTCATTCTGATGGTCCTGCGCATCCTTTGGCTCTGCGCACCTGATGTCAGCTTTGCATCTGAAGGCATGGCTCTTACTTGGGACTGTTGGGTTACTGTTCTGCCCTGTGCGGCTGATCTGGGCGCCTTGCAGCTCTCTGTGTGTCCCTGCAGGTGCTCACGTTCCGTGCAGGGAACCGGGCTGGGCTGCTGAACCCCGCACCTGCTGTGGAGTCAGCCGTGGTGACGTTCATCTGTGCTGCTCCTGTCAGCATGGCTGTGAGCCCGTCGTATGGAGCTGCTCCACCTTGTCTGCTGCCACAGCACAGCGAGCAGCTGGTAAGGCTTGGGGCAGAACTGCGTCCAGCACGAGAAGGACAGGGAGCTGTGGGAGAGGAGCCAGAGGAGCCGCAGGGCTGAGCA